GGCAAATTAGCTCGCGACTCCGACTCTTCGCGTGTCACTCTGCGTGCAGTGGTTCGCAGATGTCTTAAAAGCCATCGGTACTGAAAACCTTTGAAGTGCTCGTGGAATGAGGTTGTTTTAGATCAATGTAGCTTCTTCGTAAATTAAGGATATAGTTCGTACACGTATACAGGCATGTTTTATTTTTTAGAACACGCACAATTACTGGAAATAAGTTTGTATGGTATCAGAAAAAACGGCCGAACCGCCCTCAGTTGCCTGTAAGAGATGTATTGAACTGCCCAAAATATGTGCAGCAATAGTAACGTACTTTATAATATTTATACTTTTTCCTGGCATTCTTCCTTTATTCCAGCCTTGCGTATTCGGAAAAAACACCGTTTAGTATGAGTTGCCATTTCTAATTAAAAGAGACACTGCTGCAGGTGCCCAAAAACTTCCTTAGCCTTCAAACTCTCTACAGCTGTCCTTTCTAACAACATAGGAACACAGGAGGAACAGCGAACATTCTAACGGCTGTCCAGTGGGAGATGCTGCACGAATAACATAAAATGTGGAACCTGTGAAGGGTGACAGTTTGAGTGATTAACGCTTCTGGTATTTTAGCTTCAGGACAATGATTTAGCCTAAGCTCTAAAATTTAGAGCTTAAGGGACTAATAACGGACTAGACACCTTCACCTACGTTTTTTCTACATTACTTGAGTGGTATTATAAAGAAGTCCACAGATAGCACCAGTCGAGTCCATTAAAATACTATCCGAATCCAGAGATCTAGGCCAAATGCGAGCAGTATAAACAGATATGAACAAATAGCTGTATATTCTTGAGTTCGTTCTTTCTTTATTTTATCTCTGTATTTGGGCTGTCTCACTTGTGATTCTCTCTTTATAGCGCAGACCACATTTAACTTGTTGCGCGAGCAGCATGCAGCTTTTCTTTTGCGGCGTTTCTGTTTAAAAACAGATAACAACAAAAAAATAGAAAAGAAAACACGAAATGGTATACATAACCTGCCAATTAATTCAGACCATCAGTGGCATTGACTGTGTGAGATGCGAATCTAGAGTGATGTTCCTGCAATTGTCGCCATATGTCTTCCTTTTCATCTGGGGTTCATACGTTGCCTGCCCTGTCAACCATGACTGAAATGTTGATTGAAGTTTCGCTTGCAGCTACAAGCGATACCTCACTAAAGCCACATATAAAAATTTACACTTCCTGCGAAAAACGCGCACAAAGAAAAAAGATTAAATAGAAACGGGCACGCCAAAAGCTAACTTCGTCAAAGCCTCCACAGGGCGAGCGGAACAAATCAGGGAAACATTCTGTCCTCGCCGTGACGTCAATCCGGCTCACCGTAAGGGGGTGCCACGCAAACTTCTCGGGGCTAATACCAGTCACGCGTTCACTGTGTGTGTGAAAAAAAAAAAAAAAAAAAAAAAAAAACTTTAAATACACGGAGCTTTAGTTACTCTAAAGGTCTGATCGTGGTTATATACGCAGTTGAGCATTTGACCGCAGCGCCCTCTCGTCTATAAACGTTGAGCCAGTGCATGCAAAGTTTAACGTGGTTATATACGGATTTGACCGCAGCGCCCTCTCCTGTGTAGACGTTCAGCGGCTACATGCAACGTTGGAGTGTAGCGTAGTGGTGAAGACGTAAGCAAGCGGTCCTGAGTTCCAACCGCGTGCGGGCGTACGTTTTTTTAAAAAGAAAAAGTGGGCCGATCCCGGGGGCAGTGCAATCGATGTGAGCACGGACGCCGGACAAGGCTAGACCCTAAGGAGCTTCGCCCCTCAAAGGTGTATTTACTGCTACGTTAATGCCGTCTTCACTACACGTTCCTCGAGCTCGGCGGACATTCGAGGGGAAACAACCGTCACTGTCTGGTGAGTAATTAACTAAAATTTGCTAATTAACTTTTTAATTAGTGAAATATACACATGGTTTCCATTAGAAACTTACTGAGCGTCATCGGAAAGCACTGAATCAACCCTTTTTAGGACGACTTGAAGCTCTTGGGAAACTCGGGGGCGCGCCAAAGTTACCACTCGTGAAGCCGGCACGAAGCCAGCATTGGCGGAACGCGGATGATTAGATCGTTATCGCGTTCCGCCACTGCTAGCTTTGCGTCTGCTTCATGAGTGGTAACTTTGGCGCGCCCCCGAGTTTCAAACGAGCTTCAAGTTGTTCTAAGAAGAGTTGATTTAGTGGTTTTCGATGACGCTCCCTAAGTTTCTAACTGGAGCGATATGTCTATTTTAACTAATTTAAAATCTAATTAACGAGCTTCGTTAATTACTTACCAAACTGACGGCTGTTCACCCCTCGAGTATCCGCCTAGCTCAAGAAACATATAGCGAAAACGCCATTTGTGTAACAGTAAAGACGCTTTAAAAAAATTGTTTCGAATAAACAATATTCGGTATAGTAGTTCTTTGTATGGGTGAGTATATCCCGTTATCACCTTTGTCCATTTTTTATTATCACTTTATTGATTATAATATTGACTTCAATGCGGTTCTACTTCTTTGTGTGTGTTTCATTTCTTTTTTGGAGTAAAATTTCTGTATTTTGTCCTGCTTGGTTTTCTTTATCCCCCTCACGCAATGCAGCCTCCGGACGCGCTTAAAAAAATGAAATGAAAAAAAAAAAAAAAAGCTCACGGCTATCTGTCAAATTTTGGCCTCTGATCCGTTTGCCTGCGCGACATTTTGGCGGATTCTGAGCGTTCGGCGACGCGTAAATTTGCTTTGCCTAAAAAAAAAGGAAAACAATCACGACAAATTAGTTTTCTGGAAACGCCGTATCTGCAGAAGAAGGGTACATACATAGAGTCTTCTGTTGCAGCGGTGTTAGCTGAAGTGAAGTGTATCTTAACTCTTTGAATTGCGATGTGTTTGAAAGGTGGCGAGAGGTCCTTAGACACACATTTTGTTAAGAGCTATATTTCTTAGAAGCAAGAAGACCTAATGGGTCCTCCAGAACAGTGGTTTGTTTCCGGGATTAGCTCGCCGCTACAGCAAGATAAATGAACACCGCCCCACAAATTGGGCTTGGTTTTATTTACACATTTGCAAAGTATTGCTAAACTACGACCAGTTGCGTACGAACTTGATTCTGAGTGCGGGGGCAAACCAGACCGACCCCCCCCCCCCCCCCAACACCCCCCCCCCCCCACCCCCACCAGGGCCGGGAGTGGTATCCCTTGGGCGCCACCGGTCAGTGTTTACCCCGCCCAGTGGTGCCGGTCTAAGGGGGGGGGGGCAAAACACATGCCTTGCCCCCCCCTTCTGAGAACTGTGGGGGGGGGGGTTCAGCGCCCCCTTGCCCCCCCGGCTGTTACGCCCATGACTACGACTCTAGCGTAGCCCCCTGCTGGGTCGCCACGCAACAATGTTGCTGACATTGCAGTATAATCTCGTAGTGAAACTTTATTGCACGATCTAAATAAAATATCTGAAAGGTCAGCAGCACCTGAACTGCCACCGGAACTGTAGTTTAGTGTGGAACAGTCGGAGAATGGCAGAGCACTTTGGGAGTTTCAGATTTAAACTGGAGAGGGGTTGCGCCGCTGTGTCCCCGAAAGTTGCGTCAACATGCTCAATATATTATCGGTTTTAAAGACCACGATTACCTTGAGCTTGAATTACTAGTTTGAACTACTAGCTTGGAATACTAGAAATGGCAGTGAAAATACTTCCGTAGAATGCCAGGTTCTAGCCCTCTGTGGCATTCCTATGACCCGCCTTTTCTCCTGTATCGGTTAAAGAAAACATTGCCTAAATGTTGTGGGAACCACGGTGTTCCCCGCATCCCTATCTAGGCCTAGCTCAGGCAGGCCGTGGGACGTCGCCACGTGGGGGCGCGTCCCGGATGCGAGGGCTAGAGTTCCTGTATAGGCTCCCTACGGGAGCCAGAGTTGCGCATTTGTTTTCCCCGCGCCGCCACGCCGCTATTCGCCGAGATCCATCACGTGAGGAGCAAAGCATCCGTTGGCGTGCAAGAAAGCCACCTTTACGGTCGCTCCGCCGACGTTTCTCTTGCCCCGGCGTATGTTTCCCTGCTTTCCGCCTCCTTTTCCTCCTCTCCTGTTTTCCATGCGCGGCGGCGCGCGCGGCTCCGCTATTCGCCAAATTTAGTCACGTGAGGAGCAAAGCATCCAGCTCGTGCGGGAAAGCCGGCGCTACGGCCACGCGCCGAGGCTGAATGCGCAACTCTGCTACCGTAGGTAGCATATACAGGAACTCTAGCGAGGGCGAAGCCGTATTCCCTGGTGGGCGGCTTTCCCTCGTCTTTATGGGTGATTTGCCTAAGGCACACCCCTCAGTATCATGACTTGGACGCGTCCGCCCCTCCGGGGAGCCACCTACATCCGACCCACCCTGGGCGCGTCCATTCCCGCAGGCTATATAAGACGGCCCTAATCCAACGGGCGGGACTCTCGCTGGGGGAGGCTCTGCTCGACAGAGCCTTCATATCCTTATCCGATCCTCCCCCTTCGTGATACTGTCAATGGCGGCAGCGCGGACTCCGACTGGCGATCCTGTCAAAAGAGACAGCGCCGTTATCTCCAACATTGTTGGCCTTCGGGCAAGCGTGTGACATTTGAGTCAATAAACACGTCTTTACCCGGACCCAAGGAGCGTTCTGTGTTTCTAAGTGGTACCCCCAAGGAAAAGGATCCCCACAATGTAAGGTTACTTATGCACGTGCACTCTAAAAAAAGCCCGTGCGTCTGCTTTTCCGCATAACACTCGGAGAGCCAATCACCGCAACTTGCGGAGGCAGCTCAGCGAATGACGATGCCGAAACATATGCTTAGACTAGAAACGCAGTCTGAGTTTTGACATTAAGCAATGCAAAACGTCAGGCTTGCATTGCTAAATGTCACAACTCAGACTACGCTTTTAGGCGCGAAGCTCCTTAGGGTCTAGCCTTGCCCGTCCGTCCGTCCGTCCGGTGTTCGTGTTTACACAAAAAGAAAAAAATGTTTGCGCAGTCGACAGGATTAGAACCTGTGCGGGGTGACCTCAATGGATTTGTAGTCCATCGCCTTAACCACGCGGCCACGGCTGCGGGACGAGTAGGGGGCTCTGAGATGTGGTAGTGACTCAAGAGCTGGGGTTTCTGTCATGGATGAAACGTTGCATGTAGCCGCTATACACGAGAGGGCGCTGCGGTCAAATGCGTATATAATAGCCTTAAACTTTGCATGCACTGGCTCAACGTTTGTAGACGAGAGGGCGCTGCGGTGAAATGCTCCAATGCGTATATAATCACGTTCCATACCACACGTTCTCTTGTTGACATGGACAGTTGACTTAAGCGGTGGAGATGCGTTCCCACGGCTTCTAGCGAATCCAAGCTGATCCGCTAGAAGAACCACTGGCTCTGGATTTCACCAGCCATAAAGCAGTAATAATGAAGTCGAAACACAACCCGGAACTCAGCACTACCTATAAGTCATAAAAAAAAAAAACAGCACCATCAGCACTACCTATAAACAATAAAATCAGTATCATCAGCACCACCAGAGCTTCGCCTCAATCAACCTCATTCACCACGTGGAGATGCGGTCATTTTTTGGTCTAAACATATGTTTCGGCATCGTCATTCGCTGAGTTGCCTCCGTAAGTTGCGGTGATTGGTTCTCCGAGTGTTGTGCGGAAAAGCAGACGCACGGGCTTTTTTCAGAGTGTGAGGGTAATTAAGGACAACTTTCAATATGTGAGATCGCATAACACGTGCAAGGATGCAATAACGGTTTGCCTGTTTGAGAGGTCACAATGTTGTGAAGTAGTGAGAAGAACTGTGTCCAAAGGGTTTTGAAGGAGATAATTGGAATCGTGTCACTAGGTAAATGTATGAGCCAGCTTTCAATGTCGCTAGATTTGCGGTGACCCAGAAGTTGGTTACAGGCTTTGAGCTGGTTGGTACAGATTGGTGAATGATAAACTTATATAAATGAACGAAGAAAGGAGAGAAGAGACAAAAATTGTACGCTTACGCAACCCGTAAGGTGAAACATAGGAACAGCTGAGGTGTGACCTCTGAGGTGTCATATCGGAGCAGATGGATTGAGAGAACGCTAAAGGTGAGAGTGCTTACCATGGAAGTCCGCATAGGCGTTTCGTTTTAAACCGGGTAACACACCGGGCAAAAGCTATAACGTTTTGGAACCAGTCAGGGTGTATAAAGTAGAGAGCATTTCAGCTGTCTGTGTAAGAGGGGAGCGTGTTTTTGTACGTCTCTTTGGTACATATAGTCATACATTCTAAACAAAAAGCACCCAATAAACACGGACAAGGAAGTGGCGAAGACGAATGGCACTCCGAAACAAAGGTTTATTGACACAAACACGCACTATTAACGAAGAAATAGTCTAGGTGCAGCAAGCTGGTGTATGTTGATCATGATGTTAATGCTATTAATACCATCTTTCTGGCAATTCGTTTAGAAAATAAAACTTCATTTGTCAGTTTTATGGCCGGGGCACTAACACACTTGCTTTAGCCTTGCCTTCTGATACAGAACGCATCGTAAGATTCTCATGCAGCTTTTTATGCGTATCTCCAGAGAATGTTTTTCTAACTCTGAGTCACACGGGCACCTATCCCACTGCACTGTCAACCTGCACGGCCATGCTTGTTATTTCGCCACCATGCATGACCAAGCATGTCATCCTGCTTGCTTGTTATCTTGTTATCAGTGGCCGTGGAATGTTTTGGCGGAATGCCAAAAATGGCCCGCTTCAATACGGAGCCCGATCGACGGCGCGAAGCCGCAAGGGGTCCCACTAACAACTATCGTTGTAATATCGGAGTAAAATGGCTAACTCTGCTCGGGATCACCTTTCTGTGCCAATGCAACCAAAGCTACAGATCCCAAGCATGTCAATTCGCAGAACAGCTAAATGTACTTCAATAAAAATTATTTTCTGCTCGTAACTTAACAAATTAAAAATATAAAATTCTTTTCTTTAGCTTCGCTTTTACAATGTCACTATAATATTAGTCAGGATATGCCAAAGATAGTATTTTTTTATTAGCTCCTTGGGGTGTTCTTGACTTAAGTTCGCGGCATGTTTTCTTGTTCCCTGAAGAACACACATGGCGTGTTTCTAGCGCGACCCGTCAGCATTACGGTGTTCTCTACTACGCTTAACCTTCACTTGGCAAAGAGCGAACGCTACGGCCCCGTCGAGCCGATCTGAACTACGGAGCGAAGCACGTGGCAGCTTTCTGCAGGAGCAGAGCCCTCCGATGATAGGTTATCACGTGGCTCTCTCCGAGACGCTGATTGACTCCCTTGGGCCGTACCCGTTGTCGCTCGCCAAGTCATGATGAAAAGGGAGTGTTCGCAACTCAGGCGCCGCTCGCCCTCTCGCGGACGAACGAAGACCCAGACGAGCGGGGACGGCAACGGAGGCGATGGCAGGGACTGTCGGCGTGCTTGTGAATCATCCAGTATTTATTTATTTATTTATGTACTTTACTGTTGACCTACTGGCCGTCGCCGGGATCAATTTTCGACAATTGAACGAGGCAAAACCAAGTGCGTTAAAAGAGAAATTGTTGTGGTCCCCTTCCCAACAGTGTAGCACGTTGACCTGGATGTCTCATTTCACGGGACTTTTCGTAGATCACATAAGCTATAGATTTCGGGTCCTGCAGTTGCCAGTAACAGCTGAGCCCAAGCCTCAGCGTGACGTCAAGCGCTCCTGCAAGTAGTACAAAGCACTTGCGTACGATTTACAAAAAAGTCTTTTATTTCCAGAAAATAGGAGGTAACTGCTTGCGCAACGGATATACAGCGGACATGGGTTCGCTTTTTATGCGCTGAAAGACCGTGGCAAGGAAAACGCCGGTTTGCTCAGAGCACTTATAGAAGACAGACTACCCGTAAATTCTACCAGTTAATTAGAAAGGCGAATAAAGAACTTATCGCGACATTTTTAAGCGCGTCTACGGGTCAATCGTGAGGTGTGCTTAGAACGGGCACTTTTAGCGGAGCGGTTCCCATCGACGCGAATAACGGTAAGCAGGTGTGTAATAGTATACTGAATATTTATTTTTACAGCAATAAATAAAGACCCTAAACACGCCGATGGTGTCATTACGCAATTCTTACACAGCGTTACCACAGGCTACCGTAGGCATGGCAGCGCTATAGGGCGCGCGCTGAAAATGGTGTTTCAATGGTGCAGCGCGAACTTGCGGTCGCAATGCTTCACCTTATGGTAACCTGCGGTTACGCTATTCTAAAACTTCCTATTATTAACAACGGTGCAGGATGGTCACGTGCTGCAGTGCATTGAATCCGCGACGGTGTGCTATGAACTGTGAGATTCTGATACACAGATATCAATACTGTGAACGCTGTTATGCAGAATCTTGACTGTCACCCAGTGCGGCTCGCGTTCTAGAGCACTCGCAGCCAGGCACAGCACCAACGCCACGATATTTCCGCCACACAAAAAAATATTGTTCCACACACAATGACATGACAAGTACCCCAAAACCCACTCTTTCTACACTAATCCACCAAAAGTCACAAATTCTGTAGTGTTTCCAAAGATAAAAAAGCGTGTTTTTATAACACAGATACGCTCCTGGCCTACCTCTCTAGCCTTTGAAGGCAAATTAATTAATTTCAGCACACTGATGAGCATTAACGAGGAGGTGCATGGGAAATCCCTCCCCGTCTCTTCCGCCATTTTGGAACTACTGCTCCGTCATCTGTAGGGCGGTGGAGTTGCGAATGGATGGGTGTAGCGCAAAGAGAGGCGGCCGCGACGTGGGGTGTTTGCGCGCTGGCGGTGGCGGAGTAGTAATATCCCCTATCTGAGAGATCCATTGTCGTATGCGTTGTCGAAGCCTCCCACAGCAGTTCGACGCTTGCGTTTCGCTCTTTTAGCAGCAGAAACAATTGAAAATGGGCAAAATGTTATAATAATATTATTGCACCTGAAAAGTGCGCTATTCCTCGTCGACTATTCTTCGTTTCAACCTAAGTTCAGACGTAGCCGACGCAACGAGCTGATGGGACCAATCAGAGAGTCAAAAGCGCATGCATCGTGGTGTTAATCATGTTTCTTTACGTATCCTACCACGAGCTAGAGTGGTTTAAAGCAATAAACTGGTATCCTCTTCATCAGGCAAAAGTGTCCCTCCTCCGGCTGTCGCCATGTTGTACAATTTTGACCAGTAGACACGTGACCTTACCGAATCCTGAGGTTTTTACGCAAAACTGAGCCTAGATTTGTATTGAAATCGCTGTAAAAAAACATGACAAACTATTTTTCAATACTGTTAGCCCCAGAGATCAGCGTCTCTCTCCGATGAAAATCCATGATACAACACCGCGGCTTACGGCGTCTAGCGGAGGCCTTGCGAAGCTGCCCGAGTTCTTGTCCTAAAAGTGCATTTTGGACTTAAGACAAACGAAACCTAACTTATCTCGTCTGTACTGCTATTAAAGATCAAAGGGCAGTTATTTGTGCGCGGTACTTCGTTAAAATCTAGACGTAAAACTATAAGGTCACGTGTATAGTGTTCAAAAATGTTCAACATGGCGGCGTCCGGTTAGTGGTCTATTTCAGCTGCCAGTATATCACTCTAAGCCCCTCTACCTCGTTGGTATTTTAGCATCTCTGAACCAAGCATTCCCAAAAAAATGCATAGTGACTTGCGCCTTTGACGCTGCTTGGTTGTGTGCATTGGCTCGTAGCGTCGGCAGCGTCTGACTTAAGCTGAAACGAAGTATAGCTCCGTGCGTTCTGAAAAATAAAAATACTTTTATAATAAAAAGTACTGACAGATCGTTTTTCGGTGACGCTATCACTCTGAGTGTGCTCCACAAAAAACACCCTTGATAGCCGCGGAGCAAGCCATGCAGTCCTGTTCATATTCAATTCAGGTACCGTCCCATTTATCCGAAAGAACCAGTTCTTCAAGTAGATTTCACCATAAAAAGGTAGCGCTTAGTATGCGTTGTAAGCACCTTTGTACGTGACCACCCCTTCATTCTTTCGCCATCTTGATTGCGAACCTATGAATAAATTTCAGCGCGGACGT